AGAGAGAATGCGTGTGATATGTAAGAAAAAAGAAAGAGTGATAGAAAAGAAGGAGAAGAAACAGAGAAAAGTGCCTATACGCCAGTAAATTATTGTTTAGCGTGTTTAACGCGAGTACGGTTAGTGTCAATTACAGGTTTGAAGGAACTGAAGGAACGACGAGTTGAGACGAAAGCAATAACACGGCTCCCTAATGAAACAGCAAATCATTTCGGCTAACGGTAACGCGATTCGAAATTATTATTATTCTTGTTATTAATGGCGAAAAACCAATAGCTGCTTGTCGAACGGCATGAAAAATTTACGAAGTAACGAGGATGATTTCCACACTTGTCGTATCCACGATTCAACGAAAATGATCCATCATTCTTCCGCCATCTTTGAATTTGGATCAAACATAATTTCATAACATCCATTTAATTATCGAAGCTCATCAGATGTGTAGAACAACAGAAAAAGTACTCTTCCCCCCTCCTACATATGCACATATGTATATGTAAAAACCTTTATTAATACGGATTTTTTTATATTCTCTTTGCATATTCATACAATTACGTAATAAGACACTTTACGTAATTTATCGCAAGATTAGAAGAAAGATCTCCAATTGCAAAATGTCACCGCGTTTCTCGTCACTATCTCATTTCGCTTTCTCGCGTCTGTGCGCGTTTCACCGTCCAATCACGGAAGAATATATTAAGAGATTAAATCCGTATAATTGGAAAAAAAAAGAATCCGTACAAACGGGGATCCAAACGCGTGCTTTCGACGGGGGATCGTCCTCGTTGATTCGACGACAGCGAATAAAAACGGCCGCGACACTTTCAGGATGTATGTGATATCAGGTGAACCTTTACCTTACCTATAACGCACATAGATATTGATATTGTACGTATTGTGATAGTTATCCGTAAAAAAACTCAGTAAAAAAAAAAAGGATTTCGCCAGTCCGAGCGATTCTACATCCCCCTCTCCAACCCTTCCCTCATTCCGAGTACGACTGATATTTACAGGATATTGTTCCAATTGGATGCTCCCAAAGAAGCCGGGGTATTCAAAAGCAATAACTTCGTAGACGGTCGCGCGTCCTTGATGAGGTGCGCGTCCGATATAATATTAATTATTAATTAAAGAAAAAACGAGAGAAAGAGAGTGAGAGAAAGGGAATGCGAGAGAGAACGAGAGAGTGGGAGATGAGAGAGAATGAGGCCGAGAATAGGCCGATCAATGAATTTTTAATCCGCAATAACTTTAAGCCTACGACGACGTAGCCGATCACGATTATTTACGTGCGCTTAAACGGTTTTCGGATTTTAGCGGATTTTAGCAAAAGAGAGAAAGCGAGAAAGAGCGAGAATAATCTAATAACGAAATAATAGATCGCGCATAATGAAGCAGAATGATTCAACGCTTGTAAATGATAAAGAGAATATAGCGAGCATAACGAGCATGACGATTAGTAGGAAATTAAAGAGTAATAGAATTAAAAGTAGCGTGTAATCGTGAGGAACGTGTTACGAGCGCACGTAGGACTCTTCGATTTCGCGAAAAGTGGAAACACGATATACAATTGTGCATACGATGCACAATTTCGTATGCATGAAGAAACAGAGGAAAAATAGAAGGAAGAAATCACCAGAAGGAGGAAAGAAGAGAGAAAGAATGATGTGTAGAAGAGCGCGCGCGCGCGCGCGCGCGTGTGTGTGTGTGTGTGTGCGTATGATGTGGTGTGTGTGTGTGTGTGTGTGTGTGTGTGTGTGTGTGTGTATT